CATTAATATTATCAAGTTGTAAACAATAAAAGTATGTATAGTAGTATAATATAAAATACATTTCAAATTGTAGAGCATCGATCAATAATATTAAAAAGTAGATATTAAATAGAATATCTAGATTAATAATATTATTTAGCCTTCCTTTATGAATAACTGTTTTCCTCTCATGTCTAATAATATGTTGTTTGTACATTTATTTTTATTTCATAGTTTCATTAGTTGAATGTCATATCAACCATTTATAGTATATTGTACTTAAAATGCGGCCTAGTTTTGATATTAGTTCATTTTTGTAGTATTGTAAGTAGACAATAAATATTAATAAAGATAACTATATCAAATGTTTTGTCATAAACTCCTGATTTATCACCAATTTAGAATTATATATTGTATTTAAAGCAAAATTGATGACATTTATTTGCATGTTACCTATCTTAAAATTTTTAAATGTAATCTAAATCAACATTTTTATCTGGATAATTATTATTTAGAATTAATTATAAGTGATTTGATATTTAACAAAAACTTAAACAAATTATTTATTAACTGCAACTAAAATAATCTTTAATTTTGATTGACCTTTAAAACAAGAAAAACTATCATATTTATAGGTATTATGGATTATTTCAATATTTGGTTTCTCACGACAATCAATTTTGTWACTTATTAAAAAAAAACAATTTATATGACGTATTAGTGTCAAACATTGTCTTATTATAACTGAGTACTGACATATATTATATTTAATAATTTAGCTGAATTATGGTTCACCCTATTTATCTTATTCCATATAATATAAAACAATACTAAATAAAAACAAAATAATGTACATTCCTAAAAACTTTTAATATTTTTGTAATGCATGATTCAATTTTCAAACTAAGGAACATTTAAGTTCAACATCAATGAATTGGTTGTCTTGATCAAGGTACAATTTAAACTTTTTGAATTGTTACTCAATAAAATAAAAAATTATAATANATAAATTATTATAAAATACAAACTATTTTACACTCATAATAAGTGTATAAAAAACAAACTAATACAAAAACACCTGTTAATTGTGACTGTAAAAAACAAGTAGCGTGGAGGGATCTGTAACTCATACCGCTATTATACCATAAAAAAAGAACATGGTAAAATGTTATTCATATTAATCATCAAAGAAAGTAGATTAAAAATCTAATATTTAATATCACAAAATTGTACATTATATTACCATTATTATATAACATTGTCACAGCAAAAAAAAAAAATTATACATTGATAAGCTTCAGTGTATATAGTTATACAGATATTAAAATTTAAAATTCTTGATTGAGTTTAAAAATGTTTGATACTTAAATACCTTAACATGAATAAAATCTTACYGATCTCTTCCTTTAATGTAATTGTATTATCATTTTGAATTATTTTTGTTGTCTTTAACTTTYGTCCATTTGAAATATTAATTATAAAATTAATAGCCATGTTACTGTTTTATTATATATAATRAGATACATATTTTCTGATTACTTARTAAATTAAAACTTAAAAACAYATTAAATCGAATGATAATATAATACACATTTCTTAACACAGATTTAATATCCAGACTGAAGATTCATTGTAGAAATTGTTTTTGTAATCATTGGGGTTGTGTTTAAACTTTTGTATATGCCAACTTTGAATGTTTCCAGCAACAGAGACAATGCCATTTCTAAAAATAGTTAAATAGTGAATGTAAATAATTTTGATAAAATAAAATATGTAAAGGGGATTTAGGAAGTACTCAACAAGC